AAAAACAAAAAAACAAAGAGCAAGTACAAAATATGGAGAAATTTTCTTAGAAGACTGGGAATGGAACTCATATGAGATCATTTGCAGTATTAAGAAAAAAAAAGTATCTCTAGCCAGGGAACTACACAAAAAATTGTGGAGCACACTGGTGAGCTGACAAGTGAACAAGCAAGGGCAGCATCACAAAGACCTGCTATGACAACAGAAAAACCAGGATGATGCCAACTGTACCTACAGGAAAGTACAAGAAAACAAAACAGGGCTGGGGAGATAGCTCAGCAATCTAAGCACCTGCCTGGCACGCAGCAAGACCTAAGTCTGATTCCCAGTACCAAATGATGTGCCAGCCCTGGGTCTCTGTGCCGACCACTGAAACGGGGCATGGTGGCACACAACCATAATCTTGGTGCTAGGGAGGCTGACACAGGAGGACCACTAGAGTCTGAGCTGTGTAGGAAACCCTGTATCAATTCAGTGTAAGTGATACTTGTACATAGAGCACACAAAATTTCATGTATGAAGACCACCTTGGGTGTAACAACTGAAAAAAAAGATTATTTCTGTGGTAGGCTTTTGTGTTTACACTTAAGTTCACAGGGGTTCCTATTTCTGAACTCTTAAAATCTGTAAGCAGGTAAACATCGAGGTTAGTGAAAATGCTGATGTCTATTCTAAGCACTCATTAGACATTTTGATTTTTTTTAAAAAGAACAAACTTCAGGGCCAGGGAGATGGCTCAGTGGAGTAAGCACTTGCCTGGCAAGCACAGGAACCGAGTTCAATCCCCGGTTCTGCCAAAAAAATAAATAAATAAAAATAACCCTTCAGATTGTTACTCGTGCCAGCCAAATAGCTCAGCGGATTAAAGCACCTGCAAGCAGGCACTGGGGCCAGGGTTCAATCCCCAGGCCTGCTATACTGGCTCCGTACCTGGGGTGTGCTGAGACAGCAATTGAGACTGGGCATGGTGGTGCACACCTGTAATCCCAGCTCTAGGGAGGCTGTAAACAAGCGGATCACTACTAATCTGATTAGTAGTGAGACCCTGAACACCCTGTAGACCCTCCCCTAAAATACAAAAACAAAAAGATCTAACACACATGTAACACGTGCTTCTCTTGGCCACCTGCCCAGCCTTCCACAGGCAGCTGCAGGCAGGCACTGGTCCTAGGAGTGACAGGCAGCACCTGGTTACCAACCACACTACTGTAAGTGGGCCAACGCAAGAAACATGAATGAGAAGTAGGAATTTAGTAAATCCAACAGGAACTGCCCCTAAGCATATAGAGCCATAAGCTGCACAGCAAAACTTGGCCACAAGTGGGCAACTAAGGTCTAGCAACCCCTCAGCAGCCTGTGTGTCCATCAGCAGCAGGTCCCCTCCCTTAATAACCCTGCTCATAATACACCACATGACGAGCCAGCACACAGCCCTGTGCTAGCAACTCAAAATTCCATCTGTTTATTTTTGAACATGCGGTTACTCAACAACTTTTCTCTGGATATACAAATGGGTATTTTTAAAAAAAGGGTACTTAATAAATATATATATAACTATACATGCAAAATCCCTAAAACTCTGAATTCAGAAAAGAAGCCAGGAGGGCCGGGAAGATGGCTCAGTGGAATAAGTGCTTCCCTGGCAAGTGCAAGGGCCTGAGTTCAATCCCCGGTTCTGCAAAAAAAAAAAAGAAAAGAAAAGAAATCTGAAAATAATTTAACACAGAAGGAGAAAAGAAGCCAGGAATGACAGTATGTACCTTCAACTCCAGCACTATGCATGGCTGAAGCAGAGCACTGCCAAGTCCCAGCCTAGGTAGAGCAATTTTGAAGGACTCTTGGCTCAAAAACTTAAAACAGGGCTGGGGATGTAGTTCAGCACAAAGGCAGAGGCCCTATGTTCAATCGCAGCATTAGGGAGGAAAAAAGGCAAGACACAAGAAAAAATGAAAACATTTCAGCTTAGAGGAGTGCAGGGCCTTAAAACAGGGCCAGTGGTTTGCACTATGAGGCCTCCTGTCCCCAGCTCTTCAGCCACACCCAGCTTCCCTTTCACTGTATGGCTCAACCATATTCTCACACCAGAGGGAAAGGAAAATTATTTGAATACAGTACAGCATAAATCTTAGGGCTGAAAAAATACAGAATCAACATGAGACTGCCTTGGTGCTGGGTAGATGGCTCAGTAAAATAAGCACTTCCCTGGCAAGTGCAAGGGCCTGAGTTCAATCCCCAGTTCTGAGGAAAAAAAAAAAAGGACTGCCTTGTCTTCTAAGCCCTTGTGAGTAAACATGATGGTACCTTGCTTGGTTCACAAACTTGACTCCAGGACACTGGTCACAAACCAAGTTGGACAAGAACAAAATCGAATGGTTAGGTTCAATGTTGACCTTATAGGGAAATCTGACTTGGTTTTTGACCGTAACTGTGGAGACAACTGAGTTTTTGAGGTACCACTATATGGTTAGCCCCACAACCCCAGATTCAATCAACAACAGATAAAAATACTGGCGATGGGGCGGGAGGGTGCATCTGGCCTTAACACTTCTTTTCCTTGTGATTCCTAGTATTAGTGCTGGTATGTTGCTGGGCATCGCAGAGGGCATGTACATGCGCATGTGCGCAAGTATGTGAGTGTGCATACACACGCATACACACACATGCACACACATACACACAGCACCTACATGACTGCAGTGTCAGGAGGGTCCCAGAGTGAATCCTGTGGCCATCAAGTGACCATGCCTGCTGTTCTGAGGAAAACTAGAGTTCTCTGATCACTAAGACTATCATGAGTACGTAAAATATTTTCAGTTCTACAGATTCACTAACCAAAACCTCCTCCATTAAATGGGCCAGTAAGGCTCTCTAGTTCTCTTTCAACTAGTTTCAACTAGAAGGTGAGAACTCCATTATCTGCTGTGGCTGCCAAATGTTAGGTCCTGGAGAACAGTACAATCGGAGGAGATGGTGTGAGCCGTGACACATGTTCTTGCCCCCATCAAAGGAGGACTTGTCTGGAAGCAGCAGCAGTGTGTCACGCTGCTCCTCTACCACACTAGTTATAACAGTTAAGCCCTGGGTTATAGGATTTTGTCTTACATTTTCAAAGAATTTGTGTCTTAAAAAAAAAAAAATCAATGCATTCCAAAAACTGCACTTAAGATTTGTGGAAAGGAGCCAGTCATGGTGGGGCAAGTGTCTCTGGAAGGCTGAGGCAGGAGGATCACCGAATTCTAGCCAAGCCTGGGCAACTTAGCAAGATGAGGTCTCAAAATAAAAAATATTAAAAAAGGAGCAGGGAGGGAGCTCAGTGAAGGCTCTGGATCCAATCCCAGCGCTCCAAAAGAAAATGGCTAGTGAGGTGGCTCAGTGGTCTAAAGCACCTACTTAGAACAAGCTTGGCAAAGCACAGGGACCGCAGTTCGATCCCCCAGCACCACATGCCAGCCAGCCCCGCTCCCCGGTGGGCTGAGCTGGCCACACACACACACACACACACACACACACTAAATAAATAAATGTTAAAAAAAAAAAGAAATTAGCTTAAAAAAAAATTATATATACCATGTACTACTGTAGGCAAAAATATTAATATTCTCCTGCTTTTAACTACAATTTTCCAATCTACCACTCCAAAAAGTTTTAGAGGGGCTGGCGAGATGGCTCAGTGGTCTAAAGCACCTACTTGCAACAAGCCTGGCAAAGCACAGGGGCCGCAGTTCGATCCCCCAGCACCACATGCCAGCCAGCCCCGCTCCCCGGTGGGCTGAGCTGTTCACACACACACACACACACACACACACAAATTAAAAAAAAAAAAAAGTTTTAGAAGGCCAACTGCATTTGGGATTAGAACCTTTCAGAGCCCTGCTCCCAATACAGGACCCTTGCTAGGCAAGGACATACTTGCTGTGGGCCACTTGCCAAGGTGCACAGGGCACCATGTTAGGCCTGACTTCCAAGCCTGGGCAGAATGGTGCTGACCATTGCAGCCAACACTGCTGTCCCTGATGCCACCAAGGAAGCTCTGGACACAGCAGCCAAATTACAAGGCACCTCACTGAGCTCTACCCAGACATGCTCACAAGCTGAGATGAAGGTGCAGAAGATTAGCCGTGAATAAGAAGGCAGCCTAGTCCCCACCTGGCCTCAGTACAGCCTTCCTGTGGTTCTCACCGGCTTCTGGTTGGCAGAAGTTGTACCGGCTGCTAGACGAGGAGCCCATGCTGAGGTCTTCCAGGATGTGCGCCTCCTCAGCAATCGCAGAGTCTTGACTTCCCACTTCCTCCAACTTAGGTGGCTCAAGGGTAACAATATCAGAATCATCGCTGGCAGCTCCAAAACAGACATTGTCTCCGCGGGACTCTTCTTCCTCTGTCTAAAGAATCACAGATGTAGAGACATTAAACTCAAGGGTTAAAAGCCTATGCAGTTCAAAATGTATCATGTACCTAGCATTACAGTAATGTGAGGTTAAAATTACAATGTGGGCCAGGAAGATAGGTCAGTGGAATAAGTGCTTGCCCGGCAAGCACAAGGACCTGAGTTCGATCCCTGCTACCACCAAAAAAAAAACCAAAAAACTAGTTTTATTCTAGGGATGAAACCCGGAGCCTTATGCATATCAGGCACACACTCTACCACTGATAAAACTCCCCAGCCCTGGAAACATGATTTCTACCCAAGAGTAAGCAGTCAGCCAAGAGCAGGGGTTTTTTTGTTTTTTTTTTCCGAAGCTTAGAAACCTTATGGACTCCCTTGGCAATGTTCTCAGAACTAGATGGACCACAGTGCCTTGTGGTAGCACATGCCTACAATCCCAGCACACGGGAGGCTGAAGGAGGAAACTGTAGCAGGTTGAGTCCAGCCTGGACTACACAACAGGACCCCGTCTCAAAAAACAAAGCCCATTCAGATGGACTGCTGTATTCTTCCTCTGGACATAGAAGCTCGAGACCACTTTCACACCCCAACAGCAAAGGAAAGGGAGCTCCTTCTCTCCACAGTTCCACGGCTGTATCTCAGCTCAGGCCCATGTGTGGGGAACAGTGAAAGACTGAACCTTTCTGGAGGCGCATATAAGGCACTTCCGCACCTATGTCATGTATAGGGGTCTTAATACATCCATGAGAATCTGTGCACTGGCACCTGGGCACCTCTGCAACAGCAGAGAAGCCTCATCTCGGCATCACTCATGGCCAGTGCTGGTGTTCACTTAGGCCCATCTTCTAGGCTGCTATACCCATATGACCCACAAGCTAGGCTTGGAGATCAGCAGTGCTAATGAACAGAGCACAGCACTACCACGCTACGCAGGAGAGTGGTTTGAGTATGGTGGGCCACAGCGGCGGCTGAGACCTACGGGACAAAGACCAAGCCAGGTCCCAAGGGCAGGGGCAGCTCTACCTACCCAGGGTTTGGTCTCCAATGGAACTGACTTCACCTTCAGGTTTTCAATTAAGGCAAACTACATAATTAAAGTAAGAATTCAAGGCAAAGCTAGAAAGAGGCTTTAACTAGTATTCTCTATTTTTTTTTTTTTTTTTTTTTTTGCAGAACCGGGGATTGAACGCAGGCCCTTTTACTTGCCAGGGAAGCGCTTACTCCACTGAGCCATCTCCCTGGCCCCTTAACTAGTATTCTCTAAAAATACAGTTTACCTCATCAAGAAAACAAAACAGGATCACACATGCACAACGCAAAACCCAAGCCTACCTGAAAGGTTAGATCCATAGTCTCTTCTGTCAAGGCAGTGCCATCCTGGATGCTTTCTGATACACAGCAAACATCAATTATTTCTTCACTTAAAACACCTTGAGCCTCTTCTAGCAGGTTAAAGTCTATTTCATGAAATGTCAGGTACAATCATAACAACAGTTACAGGCTGGCTGGCCGGAGAGCTCAGCGGATCAAAGCGCCTTCTCAGGCAGACACAAGGGCCAGGGTTCAACCCTGCTGTGTGGTGCCAGCCCCACCCCCGCGCTGCACTGAGACAGCGGCTGAGCCTGGGCGTGGTGACGCACGCCTGCAATCCCAGCACTTGGGAGGCTGAAAACAGGACGATCACTACAATTTCGATCTGTGTAGTGAGATCCTGTAGACCCTGTACTAAATACATTAAAAAAAATTGTAACAGTCATTCTACTGCTTGCAATTGAAATTCTTTCATTTAAAATTGAAATTTTATAGTTGGGGAGGTGGCTCAGTGGAAAAAGTGCTTCCCTGGCAAGCACAAGGGCCTGAGTTCAATCCCCGGTTCCACAAAAAAAAAAAAAAAAAAAAAAAAAAATTGAAATTTTAGACACTGCACTAACTGAACTCTTTTGGGACCTGCCAAGAACTGAAAGTTCATCAGACTAAATAAAATCTCCACTTGAGACACCGAAGTACCCCAAGATGTTTCTAACAACCTGTTAGTATGGAAGCACTATTCTCATACCCTGATGACACATTTCCTAAAGCACACTGAAAATCTTCAAAGATACCATCATTGTAAGGGCTTTCCATGGCAGCTAACATGAGCTCAAAACTATGGCTTTAAATTATAAGTGCTTCACAGTAAGAAATCAACTGTAAACAAGAATTGGGAAAACCCCAAATAACACTACCTCAAAAAGCAATTTTGTTAAGAACCACCTCCTCCAAGGGCAAAAAAATGCAAATAGAATTGACATAATTTAATGAAGTACAAAATTTTATCAAGTCAAAAATATTAAAAATTATAAACACAGCTGGGTGTGCTGGTGCATGTCTGTAGTTTCAGCACTTGGGAGGCTGAGGTAGGAGGATTCTTGCAAGTTTGAGACCAGCCTGGGCTACAAAGTTCAAAGCCAGCCTGAACTGCATAGAGACCTGTCTCAAAAAGGCAAAAATAAACAAACAATAATAAACACAGAGTTAAGCGAAGACCTTTCACTCCCTGTATGTCAAGGGCTACTTCCAGGTAAGAGCCCCTGGGCTGAGAACACACAGGAGGTCCAGCGCACCCCGAGTCACCTGACGGGTCTTCTGCTCCTCAGCACTCTCCCGCCCAGGAACCCCGTACTTCCCTCACCCTCCCCAAGGAGCAAGCTGCTGCTCTCACAGCCCCTCAGAGGCCCTGAACCTGCATGGCCTGGGCACCCACAGCGCGCAGCTTGGCCTCCTGGCTGCGACCCCACTGGGCAGAAGAGAAGGTGACATCTTAGGAGGGCCCCACAAGGATGAGGACCTCTGTGCAAAGACAGGAAACAAGCGAACCACCCACAGGCTGGTGAGGAACAGAAGACATCTTCTGTCTGCCTGGACTGAGCCGTCTGCTGTCCTAGAGAGGGCACATTCTGCACACAGTGTCGCAGAAGTTTCTGCCAAGTGAGGAAGCAAACATGTAGGGAAGAAGACCACAGCCAACCACCTAGATGAAAGGTGAGGTGGGCTGTGCAGCTCTTGCACACCAGCTAGAGGAAGCCAGAGTTGAGCCACTGACCTTCCTGCAGTGCCGGCAGCGTCTGCAGCTCCTCCTGCCCCAGAGATGGCAGCTCTGAGCTGAGCGTGCAGCCTTCTGTACCGTTGCTGGGGGTCACCATCTCTGTGTCGGAGCCCTGCAGAAGGATGACATTTGCCTTACAGCCCGTCCCTGCTCAAAGGGCTATCAGCACACAGACCCTGCAGCTCTCCACCCAGAACCAGAGGCCACGGCAGGGAAGCGGCAGGACGGGGCCAGCATCGCCTTAAGTTCCAGCTTGAGCAAGGTTGCAAAGATGCGGATTTCAGCCCCTTGGGCCAGGTGCAGTGGTGCACACCTGCAATCCCCACACTTGGGAGGCTGACAGCTGAGGGTTCCAGCCTGCCTGGAATACACAGCCAGACTGTTTCAAAAACAAACAAAAACACCCCAGTGATGCAAGTGAATCTGATAGTAAGTATCTAAGTTTTCATATGTCTATAAATAAGAGCATTCAAGGAATAATTTTTTTTTTTTTTAATGAGCAGAATATATTTATTGAGAGAAAAAAAGCTCCTGTCCAAGTGAGGGACAGGAGCGGGGCCCAAGCGGGTAGTTCCCTGGGAAGCTGTCTCTTACGGGACTTTTATAGTGTAAAACCATGTGAGGCTAAGGTAGAGAGAATGAGAACTCACTTAGGTGGGCAGGAGGTGGGACAAAACTATGGTCAACCAATGGGATTACATATGAGACAGGGTCTTTTCTCAAGGAATAATCTTAGACAAGGAACTTGAAGATGCTACAAGAACCTTAAAAAAATTTTAACCCAAATTTCAAATTTACTGTCTGTTGCCTGGCAAGTGCAAAGCCCAAAGTTAAGTCCTATTACTAAGAAAAAAAAAAAAA